AAATGTGCGAATAGAAACCCCAAATTGATTTTGAATTTCAGCGTGAAAGGTCTGGAAAATAGAAAACAACTCAGATCGATTTTTTATCAAAAATGTCCAGGTGCACCTAGAATAGTCATCAATGAAACTAACAAAGTAGCTGAATCCTAATGTAGAACTGACCCGACTAGGACCCCAAACATCTGAATGGACTAAAGTAAAAGGTGACTCTGCTCGATTATCAATACGTCGAGGGAAATAAGAGCGAGTATGCTTACCGAGCTGACATGACTCACACTCTAGAGCTGACAAGTGAGATATTTTGACAAACTGGGATGTCCCAACCGTTTATGTAATAAAGCTGGTGAATCAGTAACAGGACAAGTTGGTGATGGAAGACAGGATGTGAGTCCATGTAATTTAGCAAGGATAAGGTAATAAAATCCATTTGATTCACGCCCGGTACCAATGATCCTCCTTGTATTGCGTTCCTGTATAAAAGCATGATCATCAAGAAATAAAAAGGCACATTTAAGTGATTTGGCTAGGCGACTAACAGCTATGAGATTAAAAGGACTATTAGGAACATAAAGAACTGAATCTAAAGGTAAGGAAGGAATTGGGCTTGCTTGACCTATTGCAGTTGCCATAGTTTGAGACCCATTGGCCATTGTGACTCTTGGAAGAGATTGAGAATACGAAATAGTAGTGAAAAGAGATTTGTTACCAAAAATATGATCCGATGCACCTGAATCAATGACCCAAGACTCAGAGGATGAAGATTGAGAGACACAAGTCACGCTATTACTTGTTTGAACAACGGAAGCTATCTCAAAAGATATCTGTTTACCTGCTTTGTACTGAAGAAACTCAAAATAATCCGCTGAAGAAACCATCCAACAATTCAAAGTATCGGTTCCCATGTCGCTACAATTAATAGTAGTAGGGTTAACTTGAAATAGTGGAAATTAGTAACTCCTTTGGGAAAACTGAAGAAATCGCTAAGAAAACACTGTTTCTGCGCCGGAAACTTAACATTGTTATGCGTGAAAAACACTATTCACGCCAGAAATACTGTAGCAATCGGAAAAAATTCAAAGTGGTCGGAATGAAATAAAAACAGTAGGGGTAGGATCGGAATTGCCAGACGACCCAACTGTTCTGAAGAAACTTTTTCAAAAAATGGCCGGCAGTCCTCTTCTGAAATCACTGTTCACGTCGGAAAAATATAAAAGTGGTCGGAATTTGGTGTAACCTGGATGGGTAGGCTCGGAATTGCAAGGAGAACAATCTGTCCTGAAGAGTCGTCGCCAAAAAATGGCCGCAAGGTGGCCCACGCGACGTCGGAACTTCGCCGGAAAAGTTTCTTCCGATAGCTACAGTACCGCCGGAGATTTTCACTGGGGTTTGGTCGCCGGACAGTTTCTACTCTTGTGGTAGTGTTGGATTTTGCACAACACTGACCGAGACAAAGCAGACGCAAAACAACTTTGAAAAATCGCCGGAAAAAAGGGTTCCCGTGACTAATTTCACTTCCCGGAATCGCTCGAATTTATGCACAGCGATAAATCTCTCACGATAGCTCTGATATCATGTGAGAAGGCACGGGAGAAAATATGATATATTGAGAAAATAGGATATATTGATATTGTGTGTTCAATACAATACAAGAGGTCCTTATTTATAGTTATACTATACAAGGACATATTACTCATATTTCAATGTGGGACAAGACTACATTATGTACATATCTAACAAAGACAAAAGTACAGGTTGTATTTGCGGGAATTGGTACTTCCCGCCTCCTATTTCTCTCATTCTTGTGTTTGTTGATTTGTTGCGGTAGTAGTACATAGTTAGCATAGTCATTTTGGTAGTGGACCTATATTCCTATTTTTTCATAGACTTCGGTAGGTATAGCAGCTGTGGTCTGTAATGGCAGTGTAGGGTCATGTCCTCGGGGAGGGAGGGTGGCGAGGTGGGGGTTAAGGCAAGGGTCAGGGGCTGGGACGGAGCACATAGGGGGTAAGGGGAGCAAGGGTGCATATAGGCTGAGAATTGGATCGTGGAATATAGGGACGTTGACGGGTAAGTCTATAGAGCTGGCGAAGATTCTCCAGAAAAGGAAGGTTAGTATAGCTTGTGTTCAGGAGACTAGGTGGGCAGGATCGAAGGCGGGGAATGCCGACGGGTATAAGTTGTGGTACTCCGGAGGCGTGAAGGGCAAGAACGGAGCGGGTATTTTGGTGGATAAGGATCTTAGAGAGTTAGTGGTAGAGGTTAGGCGGGTGAGTGACAGATTGATGACGATTAAATTAGTAATTGGAGGAAGCACTCTGAGGTCTCATTTGTTTGCACTTAATGGAGGTCTGAATCTTAATCATTCAGATCTCAGATACAACCTGTACTTTTGGATGAGGTGGTAGGGGTATTCCGCCTACTGAGAAGTTATTTATAGGAGGGGATTTCAATGGGCATATTGGATCATCTGTTGATGGCTATGGTGAGGTGCACGGTGGCTTCGACATTGGGGTTAGGAATGGAGGAGGTACGTCACTGTTGGATTTCGCTAGAACTTTTGAGTTGGTGATCGTGAACTCTATTTATCCGAAGAAGGAGGAACATTTGATTACTTTTCGGAGTATGGTGGCTAAGACTCAAATTGATTATCTTCTCCTCGGGAGGTGTGATAAGGGGTTGTGCGAGGATTGTAAGGTGATCCCGAGTGAGAACCTCACGACACAGTGTAGGCTCCTGGTGATGGACGTCGGTATCTTGATAAAGAGGAAGAAGAGGTTTGTACGGGGGCAATCGAGGATCAGGTAGGGAGTCTTAACTAAGAAAAATGCGCAGGAGTTGGAGGGAAGGTTGGCGGCTATGGGAGCCTGGAAGAGTGGTAGGGATGCTAGCGGTATGTGGACGGCGACATCGGACTGTATAAGGGAGGCAGCGAGAGAGATGTTAAGGGTCTCGACGGGGTACTCAGGCGGGCACCGAGGCGACTGGTGGTGGAATGACGTGGTCCAGAGTAAAGTGGAAGCAAAGAAAGCGGCTTACCTTAAGTTATTGGAGAGCACTGAAGAGGAGCAGAGGAGAGCGAACAGAGAAAGATATAAGGAAGTTAGGAGGGAAGCGAAGCTAGCGGCTACGGAGGCTAAAACTACTACGTTTGGGCGGTTGTATGAGGAACTAGGGGGTAAAGGTGGGGACAAGAAGTTATTTTGGCTAGCTAAAGCGAGAGAGAGGAAGGCTCGTGATCTGGATCAAGTGAGGTGCATCAAAGACGAGTAAGGTCGGGTATTGATGGAAGAGGCCCAAATTAAGCAGAGGTGGCAGTCGTACTTTCATAGACTTCTGAATGAAGAGGGGGACAGAAACATTGTGTTAGGGGAGTTGGGGTCACCAAGACTTTAGGTACTGTAGGCGTATTAAGGTGGAGGAGGTCGTGGGAGCAATGCGTAAGATGAGTCGGGGCAAAACGATCGGACCAGACGAGATTCCAGTTGAATTTTGGAGGTATGTGGGTAAAGCAGGCTTGGAGTGGCTGACTGAGATGTTTAATGTTATTTTCAAGACGAAGAGGATGTCAGATGAGTGGAGGTGGAGTACGATGATTCCGTTGTACAAAAACAAAGGGGACATCCAGAATTGTAACAACTATAAGGGTATAAAGTTACTAAGTCATACCATGAAAGTTTGGGAGAGGGTGGTGGAAGGGAGGGTAAGGAGGGCGGTGTCTATATCAGAAAACCAGTTCGGGTTCATGCCCGGTCGCTCTACTACAGAAGCTATCCATCTTATTATAAGGTTGACGTTCTTTGGAGATGCCTGGAGGTGAAGGGTGTGTTGGTAGCTTATATTAGGGCGATAAAGGATTTATATGATAGAGCTAAGACTCGGGATAGGACTATAGGAGGTGATTCGGAGCCCTTTCCAGTAGTTATGGGGTTACACCAAGGATCTGCGCTCAGCCCGTTCTTATTTGCCCTAGTAATGGACGTATTGACACACCATATTCAAGGGGAGGTGCCATGGTGTATGTTGTTCGCTGATGATATAGTTCTGATTGATGAGACGAGAGGCGGTGTTAATGAAAGACTAGAGGTATGGAGGCAGGTCCTGGAGTCTAAAGGTTTCAAGTTGAGTAGGACCAAGACGGAATACTTGGAATGCAAATTTATCGATGTGTCGGGGGAAGCGGACGGGGAGGTGAGGCTTGACTCAGAAGTCATCCCTAAGAGAGAGAGTTTCAAGTACCTAGGGTCTATTAGCCAAGGAGATGGGGAGATCGACGGAGATGTCACGCACCGTATCGGGATGGGATGGATGAAATGGAGGTTAGCGTCTAGAGTCTTGTGTGACAAGAAGGTTCCACTGAAACTTAAAGGTAAGTTCTATAGAGCTGTGATTAGACCGGCCATGTTGTATGGGGCGGAGTGTTGGCCAGTCAAGAATTCTCATATCCAGAAGATGAAAGTAGCCGAAATGAGGATGTTGAGATGGATGTGCGGGCACACTAGGCTGGATAAGATTAGGAATGAAGATATTCGGGAGAAGGTGGGCGTGGCTCCCATGGAGGACAAGATGCGAGAAGCGAGACTTAGATGGTTCGGGCATGTGCGGAGGAGGAGTCCAGATGCCCCGGTTAGGAGGTGTGAACGGTTGGCTTTGACAGGTACAAGGTGAGGTAGAGGGCGGCTTAAGAAATATTGGGGCGAGGTGATAAGACATGACGCAACTTCAGATTTCCGAGGACATGGCCCTAAATAGGGAGGTGTGGAGGTCGAGCATTAGGGTTGTAGGTTAGGGGGTGGTTGAGCGTTTTTCTTCGTTGTTCCGGCTAGTCTGATAGTGTTTTATATAGGACAGCTGGCGGTTATTGTTCCATCACACTTTCTATTTTTTGTTTATTATTATTATTAAGTTTTTACTTTTATTTTATATTTTTTTCCAATTTTTATTATTGCCATAGCTATTGTCCTTCCCACTTATTTGTTGTCACTTACGGTGCTGATCTTATTTGTATGTTTTCTACTGTTGTTACAGATCTTTCGTTTTTGAGCCGAGGTCTCCCGGAAACTGTCTCTCTACCCTCATGGGTAGGGGTAAGGTCTGCGTACACTCTACCCTCCCTAGACCCCACTAATGGGATTATTACTGGGTTATTGTTGTTGTTGTTATTGAAAATTTAATGATTTTTGTGTGAGAAAATATAGTTATATGACTTTGATGAAAAAAAGTCATACTACCATTTGTGAAATTGACCCATTAGATGTTATGATTAGGAAAAATATTCAATTCATAATGATAGTAATATAGAGAAGAGTTGGGGATTTTAATACCTGATACGTTGTGCGGTTTGAAGATGAAAGAGGACTAGGAGATAGGGTTGTTGTCTATCCCTTTATGACTTTTTCCTTGAAATAATCCAACAAACAACTTTCAATTCAGTGTTTGAGACAAAAAGAGACGTTGGCAGTAAGTTCAGTGTTTTTCTATGCACTTTTTATGCCTTCCAATCCCCTCAACCTATGCAATTCAATTTCAAATAAGATGGAAATTAGTAGAATGACAAAAAATACTAAAAGAAACTTAAAAATAAAAAGTTAAAATCAGACATGAATTTAAGGAAAACACGATCTGTCTCCAGTATGGCACCACATTATGGTCATGGCACCATATAAACCAATTTAATTCTTTTATCTCCACTTTGAACTTATGAATTTGAATCCAAAAACTTCAATTTGAGTTTATGATTATGTTCTTGTGGTGATGCCACAAATCCAAGTGAGTCAGACCAAATGTTCATTTTGCACTTCTTGGCTTTCAAATGATGAATGTTATTTATTCTAGACGGCCTTGTAAGTTTCAGAATGTAGGGCCCTTCCACTGTAAGGATTACTTGTCATTTTCCCGCTCAAACTCAAGTTCGAGAAGTGATCTGAATAAGGTGTTCTCCAATCCAAGAATTTCAAATCTTCAACATCCTCAACATAAATCAAATTACTTGACTAGGTCCTGTTGAGTTGTCCCATATCGGAGGGATTTGAGGTTCTTGATCTCCTTATACGGCTTGGGCAATCCTCACCTCATAAGCTAGCTTTTGGGGTTGAGTTAGGCTCAAGGTCCATTCTTTTCATGGTATCAGAGCCAGACTCATCCCAATTATTGTTACCGATGTTGGGCCCCCATTTACGTTGTCCACGCTTCAGAGGCCTGAGCGAGGGAGGAAGGGGGGTTGAGTTGTCCTACATCGGAGGGATTTGAGGTCCTTGGTCTCCTTATATGGCTAGGGAAATCCTCACCTCATAAGTCCGTATTCAAATTACAACGACTTTTTTGAGTCGTTGACTCGTTGTACATCTAAAGCCAAGAGATTTGTTTGACATGGGAGATGTCAATGAAGTAGAAATATATGAGAATAAGTCGTACCAACAACAAGAATTTGAACAATTTTTTATGATAATTATGAGAATAGCCAAGTTACAATAGAGGAGCGTATGTCAGAATAGGAATTAGGCTTTTTGATATGAGTTGGAAAATAATTTCTTTTTCGAAGGACTGCATGTTAACTAATTCTACATGATTCTGTTAATTAGGTACTTCTAAATTGCTTTAATGAAAATCTAGGAGAGGGTGGTGGAAGCAAAGGTGAGGAGGAGTGTTTTTATTTCTGAGAACCAGTTCGGATTTATGCTGGGGCGATCGACTACTGAAGTCATTCACCTTATTAGGAGGCTGGTGGAGCAGTATAAGGATAGGAAGAGGGACCTGCACATGGTGTTCATTGACCTAGAGAAAGCGTGTGACAAAGTCCTAAAGGAGGTGCTACGGAGATGTTTGGAGGTTAGAGGTGTGCATGTAGCTTACACTAGGGTGATCCAGGATATGTATGATGGTGCTAAAACCTAGGTTTGAACGGTGAGAAGGGACTCGAAATATTTTTCAATTGTGATGGGTTTGCATTAAGGATCCGCTCTTAGCCCATTTTTATTTGCCTTAGCGATGGATGTTCTAACGCGGCACGTTCAAGGGGAGGTGCCATGGTGCATATTATTCACATCCAATAGTACTGATTGACGAGACGCGGGCTGGTGTTAATGCAACGCTGGAGGTATGGAGACGAACCTTCGAGTCAAAAGGTTTCAAGTTGAGCAGGACAAACAAAGTACTTGAAATGTAAGTTTAGTAACGTGACCGAGGAAGAGGACGTGGAAGTGAGGCTAGATTCACAAGTAATTCCCAAGAAAGGGAGTTTCAAGTACCTCGAATCTATGATTTCGGAGAGATAGACGAGGATGTCATGCATCGGAGCGGAGCGGATTGGTCACTTTCGGGGTTTTATTTGATAAGAAGGTACCACCAAGACTCAAAGGTAAGTTTTCCAGAGTAGTGATTAGACTAACTATATTGTATGGAGCGGAGTGTTGGCCGGTCAAGAACGCCCATATGCAACAGACCTCTGAACGGAAGAGCCCCCGTTATGTAGTTTTTTCGCTGAATAAATGAGAGAGAGTGGGAGGGCGGGTCTCTTCTCATTGGGCCCGCTTGGATTATGGTTGGGGCACGCCCCACTGAGGTTTTCTTAAGAAAGAATAGAAGGTAGCATAAACGAGGATGTTGAGATAGATCTGTGGGCATACAAGGAGAGATAAGATTAGGAATGAAGTTATCTGAGACAGGGTGTGAGTGGCCCCTATAGAGGATAAGATGCGGGAAGCTAGGCTTAGATGGCACGGGCATGTGAAGAGGAGTATAGATGCCCCGGTGAGAAGGTGCGAGAGGTTGGTCATAGTGGGGCAAAGGAGAGGTAGAGGTAGGCCTATGAAATATTGGGGGAGGTGATTAGGCATGACATGGCATACCTCAGCTTACTGAGAAGTGAGAACATGATCCTGGATAGGAAGCAGGGGCAGCTCAAGTATATGCGGGGCCTAAATCTAAAGTTTAATATGATGCCTAAATTTTTAAAAGAAAGCTATACGATATTGTTTTTATTTAAAGTCTATTTTTCTAACTTTTTGAGATACAAAGTGTTAATAATCTTTTTTATAATCGATTTTCCCTAATAATTTATTTTCAATTGATAATATAGCAACTCATTTAATCTTTCTTGGGATACTATTAATTTTAGATAAAAATTTATAGAGCCATAGAAAGATTTCTTTTCTTTTCTTATAATCGATTTCTTTTAAATTTCTTGAAGAAAGAAGGTGAGTAAGAATATTAAAGAGAAAGACAGAAAATATGTAGGGGTTTCTAAAATATGAAGAGATCGGGAAAACAAAGATTGACTTGGACAAATTAAAAAAGGGAGAGTAAAATTGTTACACGCTATCCAATGAAGGAGTAAGAAGTAAAAAATTGAAACGTTGGGAAAATTATTCATACCCATGTTTAAGAAAGTCAAATTATTACTTTATTTATGTATCTAAAGAGCTTTCTTTTTTTATATTAAAACTCTACTTTTGTATTGAAAGTACTAAATATTATTTTTTAAAATACCTGTAAACCTATTATTTTTAAAAAAAATGGGGCCCCCAAAATTTGGAGGCGTAAGGCACAAGCCTTACTACTCAACACATTAGAGTCGGCCCTGATAGGAAGGCGTAGTGGTTGAAAATTAAGGTAGAAGGTTAGTAGTTAGGCGGGAGTGTCTCATTTGCATGTCAGTAGCATTAGTATTAATCTTTTATTTTCATTCCTTCATATTAACCTTATGTTAATGCTTTCGCTTCGATTATTCTATTATCATATCTCTCTACTACCGTATCTTGTTGATGTTACTACATGTTGTATCTACTTCTTTTACTTTTATCTTGAATGGGGGGTCTATCAAAAACAACCTCTCTACCTTCAAAAGGTAGGGGTAACGTCTGCATATACTCTATCCCACGACCCTACTTTGTGGGATTACACTGGGTTTGTTGTTTCTAAAGTGCTTAATTTCTACTTTCAATGCTCTCAGTAGATTTATCGGAAACAGCCTCTCTACCTTTATAAGGTAGGGGTAAGGTCTGTGTACACTACCCTCCCCATACCCCATTTATGGGATTACATTGGGTTTGTTCTTGTTGTTGTTGTAATGCTCTCAGTAGAGTAACTAATAGTAGATGCAATATGGAAATTTTTCCGAGCCTCTATATTTAATTAGGGGGCGTTGTTGACCGCCTCTAAATGTAAATATAACCTCCGCAAATAAACTATATTTTCGTAGTGCACGGCGCCCGATTCAACTGCCAAGAACAACCTTTCACTAATAGTCACACAAATTTCTGTAAGAATATTATTATATGAGATATTTTCATTATATTTACTACCAATAAAATACTCAAAATATTGTCTCCAGCTTCCATAACATACGGACTCATATGTAAAATATCTACTAACAAAATATTCAAAATAATATTCATGGCGTAAGATAACTGTTGTATCTTGAAGCTTCATGCTTTCTAGAGTAACTACCTAAATTTCCATGTCAGATAACCGTCTAATATCTTTCTTAATTTTGAAGGAATGTGCCTAAAGGTAGACTCGTGACTTTTATAACCATGATGTCGGGGCCAAATTGCATATATCTCGACTAATTCTATAGAATATCAGGTAATTCTGTCCACCAAGACTTGGAAGAAATTACCTAGACTCGTGATTGTAGATTGTTGTTTAATGCTAGAAGTAGACTAAGCACCTGTTAGTGTTTTGGTTATGCAATATATTCAGTTTCAATTGATGATTTTGTTTTCTCGGGTTCAAGAGAATATAATGCAAAATCCTGGATCTAACAGGAAATTGTCACTTTCTATCTTCAGTTCTGGCATATGTTTATATTCATTCTTGCTGTATCAATATTGAGGTGCAATATTAGTCCTTCCTTCCAAATGAGCATATGCCTTACATTTAGTTATAAAAATTAGTGGATGACTCCTTTCTGAGTCAAACACTAGTATTTATTTTCTTGGTCTGCCACTTGAACTTTTTTTCAAACTTTTCCAATGTAGAACAATGAGAATCTTTTTTTTTTCTTGTCATGGCAGGGCATTTCCTTACAAATGTGCAAAATTGACTTCTACAAAAATTGTGATTAATACCTAACTCACCCAACTTGTGCCACAAAGTGGCATTGGCCGCTGCCCATCTCAAAGACTGACCTGTCACTTTTCGCAAAGCAAGGCAGTTCTGTCTGAAATTGCTGTCTTCGGCTAAAATGTGAATACATTTAAGAAATTGAATAGATTTAAAATAATACATGTAAAAGCAAATACCTGATGCAAATCCTACATAATTTTGCCGTCATATTTATGGTTGCAAGAATTGGTTGATTTGGCTGTATCCACTTGCTCATCTTTATGCATCACATAACTTGGAAAATTTCTCTAAAACGAGTGGTTTCACCACTTGGATATCAAACTGATTATGAGGTAGTGGACTTATTAAGTCTGCACATGAGGAAGACAAGTTAGGGAACAAAGTAACTGAAGATTCAAATGATAACAGACAATAAATTAATGTGTCCTTTATTCTCACAATAAAATTTCATCATAGAAACATCTTTGAGACAGGTAAAAGTTATAAAGACTTGTAAATTAACAATTGTGAAAATAAGGAGATCTTACCACCATTTAAAGTCTCAAAACCACATCGTTATTAGCCATGCCATGTTACTACTAACTTATGCATTTATGGAGAAAACCTTCAAATCTTTTCTCTTAGCACTCTTGTTGCTTCACTATGTAATGGCTAGTTTAGCCATGACCCACACCAACACTACCACTGATCAAGCAGCTCTTCTTTCCTTCAAATCCCAAATTTCTGACCCCTTTCGATTTTTGGATGAAAGCTGGTCTCCAGCTACTTCTGTCTGTCATTGGGTTGGAATCGGTTGTGGTTCTCGCCACCAGAGAGTGAGGTCATTGAATATTTCCAACATGGGTCTTACAGGCACAATTCCCCCTGATTTCGGAAATCTCACATTTCTTGTTTCTATTGACTTGCACAGCAACAATTTCTATGGCAATTTGCCTCAAGAAATGGCACATTTGCGTCGGTTAAGATTTGTTGAAATTAGTTTTAACAACTTCAGCGGGGAGGTTCCTTCTTGGTTTGGGATCTTACACCAACTTCAAGTTCTGAATCTAGCAAACAATAGTTTCAATGGTTCCATTCCCTCTTTCTATTCTAATATTTCCACGCTTCAATCTTTGGACTTGACCTTCAATTCCTTAGGTGGGCAGATCCCAAAGGAGATTGGAAATCTTGAAAATCTGAGGTTTTTAAGCTTTGCTGGAAACAAGCTTATAGGTTCTATCCCTCCATCTCTCTCGAATGCCTCAATGTTGATGACTTTAGATCTTTCTCTCAATTTCCTTAAAGGAAACATCCCAGAAGAGATTGGAAAACTTCAAAACCTAAATATTTTGGTAATAGAATCTAATCAACTTACAGGTTCTATACCACTCTCGATCTTCAACATTTCTGGAATTGAAGTCATTGCATTTACAAATAATACCTTATCAGGAAATCTACCTGCTGACATGTGTGATTATCTTCCAATGCTCGAAAATCTTTATCTAAGTATGAATGAGCTACGCGGTCATATGCCTCTAAGCTTGTCAAACTGTTCGAATCTTCAAATATTGTCATTATCTGATAACAAGTTTGATGGACCCATACATAGTGAAATCGGGATTCTTAATAATTTGGTGATTTTAGGGCTGGAGACAAACCATATTTCTGGTCGAATCCCAGTTTCCACATTCAATATCTCCTCGCTGCAGGTTTTGGTACTAGCTCACAACAATCTTATTGGATCCTTTCCAAGGGAGGTAGGCAATTTGACAAAATTGCAAATTCTGGATCTTGCTAATAATATTCTTACAGGTATGTATGTAGTCAAAAGGGATATTGCAGCTATTATAGCTTGCTAAAGCGAAATTAACAAACTATGTTAAATCATTACTAGCAAGAAATTCCTTAAATCTTAATTACTAATTATACATACATATATACATTGGCAGGTGAAATACCGAAAGAAGTAAGCAATCTCATTGAGTTGTTTGATCTGAGTTTCAACAAGTTTACCGGTTCGCTACCAATGGAGATCTTCAACATATCAGGGATAAGAGAGATTCAACTTATATTCAATAATCTGACAGGAACCCTCCCATTAAACATAGGTTCTACGTTACCCAACATTGAAGTTCTTCATCTGGGAAACTTAAATCTTTATGGGACTATACCTCATTCTCTCTCCAATTGTTCCAAACTCACTAGTCTAGACCTTTCTCTCAATAGACTCACCGGTTTGATTCCCAACTCCCTCGGACTTTTGACTCGCCTACAGTCCCTAAGCTTGGCAATAAACAATTTAATGAGCGACACTAGATTAGGCTTCTTGACTTCCTTGTCAAATTGTAGAGATTTAAAATTTCTTTTTCTATCTTCAAACCCTCTATATGGTGTGCTTCCAGACTCCTTAGGGAACCTTTCCGCCACTTCTCTTCTAAGGTTTAGAGCTATTGATTGCAGAATTAAAGGGGAAATTCCAAAAGGAATTGGGAACTTAAGTAGCTTATTAGAGCTTGACCTTTCTGAAAATGGCTTAACTGGATCAATTCCCACAACAATTAGCAACTTGAGATCCCTTCAGAGCTGCAAGTTGAGTCACAATAAACTTTCTGGATTTACTGGAATCGATCTATGTAAATTGCAGAACTTGGGTTATTTACACTTGACCCAAAATCAACTTTCAGGATCTCTTCCTAATTGTATAGGGAACTTAACTTCCCTTCAGGAGATATTTCTAGGTTCCAACAAACTGCGTTCAGACATACCAGCAAGCTTAGGGAACCTAATAAATCTCTTGAAGCTAGACTTATCTTCAAACAACTTGGGTGGCTCTTTACCTCCGGAAATCGGAAATTTAAAGACTGTGATATATATTGATCTATCAATGAATACACTCTCAAATGGCATTCCTGGAGGAATTGGTAGCTTGCAAAATCTAATACATCTTTCTTTGAGAGACAATAAATTGCAAGGATCAATACCTGACTCAATGAGCAGCATGTCGGCTTTGGAATTTCTAGACCTTTCTCATAACAATGTTTCAGGATTAATTCCAAAGTCATTGGAGAAGCTTCAAAATCTCAAGTATTTTAATGCTTCTTTCAACAAGTTGGTTGGTGAAATCCCCTCGGGTGGTCCGTTCAAGAACCTCTCCAGTCAGTCTTTCATGTCCAATGAAGCATTGTGTGGTTCTCCAAGATTTCGTGTTCTGCCATGCCCCACTAGTACTTCAAAGCATAGATCCAAGAGGAAAAAAGTACTTGTTCTAATTCTACTGGTCGGAATTCCACTTGTTGTATTAATGCCTATCGTGTTTGTGCTTGTATGGATAAGGTATATAAGAGGCAAAAGAACTGATCCTCAGCAGACAGCTGAATCATCGTATGACGTCTCAACAAGAGAACGAATTTCATACTATGAATTGCTCCAAGCAACTGATTCGCTCAGCGAGAGCAATTTGATTGGTTCCGGGAGTTTCGGCTCTGTTTACAAAGGCATCCTCAGAGATGGGACTCCTATTGCAGCTAAAGTGTTCAATCTGCAATTGCAAGCAGCATTTAGGAGTTTTGATACAGAATGCCAAGTTTTGCGCAACATTCTCCATAGGAATCTCACCAAAGTCATCACTAGCTGTTCCAACCATGAATTCAAGGCTTTGGTACTTGAGTACATGCCTAACGGGAGCCTCGATAAGTGGTTGTATTCGCACAACTACTTCTTAGACATCAAGAATAGACTAAGTATTATGATAGATGTAGCATGTGCATTGGAATATCTCCACCATGACTGCTCATTGCCCGTGATTCACTGTGATTTGAAGCCTAGTAACGTCTTGTTGGATGAGGACATGGTCGCCCACCTAAGTGACTTTGGCATTTCAAAACTGCTTTCTGAAGATGAGAGTGTTTCATACACTAAAACTTTAGCTACATTGGGTTATATTGCACCGGGTAAGTAATCTCTTAATTAATTGCTTTTGAATATTTCTCTTTTCTTTATTCCACCAGTAAATGCTGAATTTAAAATTTGACTGATTGTAGAGTATGGACGGGAGGGATTGGTGTCAACGAAATGCGATGTTTATAGTTACGGAATCATGTTGATGGAAATATTTACAAGGACAAAGCCTAATGATGAAATGTTTGATGGAGATCTTAGCTTGAAGCAATGGGTGAGTAATTCACTCCCACAGGCAGTAAGAGAAGTTATCGATGCCAACTTAATAAAGCCGCAGGATACTCACTTAATAAAAAAGTTAGATTGTGTGGTTTCCATCATGAAAGTGGCAATAGATTGTTGTGTTGAATCTCCTAAAGAAAGGATTGACATGAAAGATGTTGTAGCGAGGTTAAACACGATCAAGATTCAACTTCTTGCATGTTGAGCAAGTTCTTATAAGAAACTTCTCTTCCAAATCATCTCGTGTGTAACAAATATTTGCAATAATATTTAGCTTCAAATAAGCTATAGTTTGGTTTGATTCATAACATCTATTTGTAGGTGAGGAGGGACTTTTCCTTTTGTTAAATCTATTTGCCCAGTCCTTTTAATTAATCCGCTATAATTAGGATCTTGATTGGGACTGAGGCATAGTAATTGTTGTTGTTGTTGTTGTTGTAATTCTAATTAGGATCTTGATTAGCTTCTATTTTTGTGTCAAATCTCCATAAGGAAGGATTGACATGAAAGATCTTGTAGGAGATTAAAGAAGATCAAGATTCAACTTATTGCATGTTGAGCAAGTACCTAAAATTCATTTATTCCAGAATACTCGTGTGTTGCAAATATTTGCAAAAAAAAAAAAAAAAAATAGTTTCAAATATGTTATAATTTAATATCCTTCATAACATAGAGAATTGAGGGTATTTCTGCTCTCTTAACTTGAAGTCTAAGTTGAGCAACACTACTGGAAATACGTGAAATTCCGACACTCAGTCTAAACTCTTTAGACGGCAAACCATCAAATTTTACGACAGATATTTCTAACAGCTAGGAGGTCACTGCAAACTAACATGTCTATACAAATAATTCAAATTTTCAGTAAAAGAAACTTCACACAATGAGAGAATTCACATCAGAAAATACACCAAACCCCACCCCCATCTTACAGTACTGTACCTTCTTATGAAAGTTTACAAAAAATCATGCACAAAATCACCTACTGGAAGTTCATTTTAAGATTTCAAACCACCAAAAGATATTTCATTTGTTAAGATTCTTTCAAGGCTCGGTACAACTGATTTCAATTGAGTTAATAGCCTAAAACCCGCCTAAACTATACAAACTTTGTCAGCTACCTAACTAAATTATCACCTGTCCCCGAAAACTAACATGATTCCCCATTTAACAATGTAAACAAATAGCTCTCAATCATATTGATTCAGAATTCCACTAAAAGATCATTCACACAGCAAAGGAACTCATCTAGGCAATTGACCAAACACCTTATGCGCAACAAGTTTGCCTGATTATTTTCCTTCTAACATGCATAGATGTTGTAATTAGGAAAAATATTCAATTCATAAATTTGGTAATACAGAGAAGAGCTCAAGGATTTCATACCTGACGTTGTGCGATTTGAGGATTAGAGAGGAATTTGCGGCTGTTTTCCTTCAAATCCAACCAATTAACTTTCAATTTGAAGAATGTGAGATTGTTTTCCAATGACTAGATGGTGGAATTCAGTTATCAGAATTAAAAAGTTGTTTCCCGCCCGGAGTGATTTGTCATTGTTACCAGGGCGGATTCAGGGGAAATTATATACAAGTCCAAAATCTATTTTTTATATCTATATATTAAGTTTTGAACACCTTTAACACAATCCAAAAGTGTAGTTTATTGGTCAAGCGGGTTTCAAAATATACATAAGGTTATAGGTTCAATTCTTACTAGCTACAAAAATATATTTTTGAAATCTTTCGCGGAGATCCTGCCTCATTGTTACCCATAGTTTATCCTATTTTATTTTATTGTATTGTGTTATATTGTACCTACTATATTGTAACGGATAAGTTTATTAAAATATTCATAATTATTTTAAATATTATCAAAAATTACACATAAAATAATTAGAATTGGGATTTAAAAAGCAATATTATATAGCTAACTAGAGATGAAGTAATTAGAATTGAAGTTAAAAATCAAAGTAGAAGAAAGAACAAAACAAAAGGAAGGCAATAACTATACCTGACAATGGAGTTGGAAGTGGCAGAAGGAAAAAAGGAATGAAGAGGTAGGTTATAGGTTAGAAGATTTGGATTGAAATAAAATAAAAAAAGATAAAGAGAAATAAAATTATAAAGTAATAAGTTTGGGCATAATTGGATAGAAAAATAGGAAACAATCTCACCACATCAAATCGGCTATTTTATAAAAATAGATTTTTCATTGTTCCGGAACAATGTATTTAACAATACAATACAATACAATACAATCAATTTTAACTAAACAATTAAAATAAACATTGTTTTGAGATACAATACAATACGATACAATGGGCAACAACCATCTAAACAAGCTATTAAATAAGAAAAGGGAGTTTTACCTAGTTGTACTACAATGGAAACCCACTTACCACTATTATTTAGGTTCCTTGTAAATTACTTTGTATATCTATATTTACAAGTTATATACAAAACCATACAAAAAGAAAAAAAATCAAGATCCGTTAATGTTAGCGTGTCCCCATTTTCAATAACCCTCCCCTACATTTAATATTCTGTTTCATTTTTTTCTCTTTCTTAATAAACACCTAAAATCTCTCTTTTATTTTTATAACCCCCCATCCCCAAATTTTTTATTCTTTTCCTTTTCCTAAATTTTCAATTTCAATTTCTCTCTTTCTTACTAATCACCAATAAGCTCTATTTCTTATTGATATAATAAAGACGAAATTCGGAATATTGGTCTAGAATCAAGTTGTGCGTAAATTTTAAATCTTGTTTTCTTTCTTTCTAAAATCTTTATTGTATGTGACTTGTATACGATACATCAATACACAAAACAATACTCGATACAATACTAATACAATTATAATACGATTATATTAGATTTTTTGTGTAGAGTTATGATTGAAACTTGAAGAAGATGAAGATCATAATTGTATCACAATTTTTTAGAAATATATCGCGATTGTATTATAATTGTATATGTATCATTATTATTGCAGGAATTGTATTACAAATGTATGATAATTGTATATTCATTATATATTGTTACGAGCAGTTGTGAGTTCGGATGAATTTCACAGTTTGTATCACAAATATATGATAATTGTATATTAACTTATTAGTATTGTTTTAGGTATTATTTTGGGTATTAATATACCAAATATAAGTTAGATACAATTGTGATACAGGTATGATACAATTATATTTTAGGATTGATGTATCTAATTCAATTATGATACAGTTATCATACAATTATCATACAATTCCTGAATATTTCTTCATTTTTAGTATTGTCCAGTCTCCAAGCAAAAGAACAATACAATTGATGATTTTTTAATAATATAGCGTTTTCAACAATGGTGGGAAAAGAGAAGATGGATATTCTTTGCGTAGATTAAGAGATTTTGATGTGGGGAAAAAAAGGAGAGAGAAGACGAAAGGGGAAAAAAAGAAAAGAAAAAGATGTACTTGAATCCCTGAAGGCACTAATAATGGGGTGGGAACCTTTTAAAGGGCAATGTATATAATTTGTAAGAAAAAACTAGATATTTATTAAAAACTACAAATTAAAATATAAAGAACATAGATAAATAAGTTTCTTTAATATAGTATAACTAGGTAACAATCCCTAAGAAATAAAATAGCATGTTTTACAACACTGAAGAGGCCCCAAAAGTAGAGTACCGCAATTTTTGAAATTATATTTGTATTTGTAGTAAGTGAGAATAGAGTACAGATTTTAACAGAAGATGCAGAGAAAATTGTAAGGATTTATTCTTAAATCATTTCTCGACAGATAATAGAATCAAACTTTAATAAAAAACGATAATGTATTTGTGTCGCCAAATCACTAACTTTTTCTCAAACAAATATTGAATTTAAAACTTAGTTATTAGTATTTGAAGTCGTTGTTCTAAAATCTAGAACTCATAACGTTGAAATTCTCACTCCACCGAGCTACAAAGTACAATCTACGGGCACAAGATCAAAGGACATAAGAGGCTCTTCAATCTAACGTGAATTAATTCATTGTTATCGGCAACATTGTAGTTTAAATAGTTTCACTTCCTACATGTGATTAATACAAGTCTCAATGCCAAGGATTTTTACTAAGGGAAGCAAAATTATACAATATTAAACACACGAAAATATAAGAGATTAAAATAAAATAAGTAAAAGTAGAATGAAAGACTTATTCTGTAGATTTCACATTCATTCAAAATAGTATTTTAGTAAAGAAATGAAGCATTCTGGGCCAACTATTACGACTACATACCCATCTAGTGTAGTAACATGGAAGCAAGCTACCTTGACTATTTTTTGTAGTTCTAAATAATTTACTGATCAAATGTTGTAAGACCATCTCCAATCCAACACCAATTTTGGCATCAAACACCATTTTAGTGTAAGATTTGGTATTTTTTTTTTGGTTAAATTTTTATTTAACCAAGTAAGAATATTTACATCCGCTAGTTCTTTTGGACTCCAAAACTTGACCTATCTATAGAGCTATCTGACTAATCAATTAACAAAACTTCCTATACAATTACATTGAACTATATTAACTAGGAAAATTCTTCAACCTTTTCAGTTCTTTGTGCCACTTTGTTTTACTTTGCCCTGTTATATGTAGCTCCATTGCAATATCTTTGATCCTCTAATTACAAGCAACTATTCTCCCCTTAAAATCTTCTTTTGTTTCTCTCTGCCCAGACATGGTACATCATTGCTGAGAATAGGAATATCAATATTTCACCTCGATTTTTACTAGCAGTCCTTCTTTTCAACCATTCAATCTCCTCTTCCCAGCTTCCAATCTAATGTTTTTCATTTAGCCATTGTAACAGTAGAGCCCATATTGTCCTGGCATAATCACATCCAAACCATATATGCTCCATTGACTCCTCTTCTTTTGTTGCACATAGTACACATCCTTTGCTACTGTTACTCCCCGTTTCTCAAGTCGATCAACTGTAGTCAATTTCCTGTGTATTGGTAACCATAGGATGAATCTGTATTTTGGTATTGCTTTAGATCCAGTTAATACTTTTTTCCACAAACTTTTCTGAAATTGAGGTCTCATAGCAATATATAGCTTTTTGATGCTAAATTTGCCATTTCTATAGTATCTGTGCAACTCAACACTTGTATACTTTTCCATAAACCAATATCTGATATCAAAAATCTTCTTAACAAGCCAGCATGCTTGTTTATGAGTATACATCATCATGCTATCTTGCCCTTTGATGTAGTAGCTATGTATCCATTGTATCCATCGGATATTCTTCTTTGTACTAACAACCCATAGTAGTTTATACAGTGCAGCTTTGTTCCATTATATGAATGTCAGTTACATAACCCACCTGCTGAGAAAGGCATACAAACTGTGTCCCATGCCATTAAAGCTCTCCTTGATGGCTCACCCCTTCATGTCCATAAGAAAGTTTTACAAGCTGAAATTATTAGCTTAAGAATTTTCTTTGGCAGTAAAAACACATGTGCCCAGTAAGTCTGCATTTCAAAGATTACACTTTTCAGCAATTGGAGCCTTCCATTGTATGATAGTAGCTTAGTAGTCCAACAATTAATCCTAGTTGTGATCTTCTCAATCAATGGCATACACTGTTGAACTATCAGCTTCTTAGAGGATAATGGTACTCCAAGGTATTTGAATGGTAGTTCCCCTAGTGTAAATTGCATCTCTTCCAAAATCATATATTTGAATTCCTTTGTAACACCTGCAATGTATAAAGCACTCTTCTCCATATTAGCCTTAAGTCCTGACACTTCTGAGAAATGATTGAATCTGTCTAGTAGCAATCTGATAGATATCATATCTGGTCTACAACACATGATCAAATCATCTGCAAAGCATATGTGAGTAATATTATTTTTGGAGCACCTCAGATGATAATTAAAGTCAGGGTTATCCTTCAGCTTCTTCAATGCCCTATTCAGATATTCCATCACCAATACAAAGAGATAATGAGACACTGGATCTCCATGTATTAGCCCCTTCTTCCCCTGAAATTTAGTTGTTAACCCTCCATTTAGTATCAATGAATAGCTGACAGTAGATACACAGTTTATTATCAGCTCCACAAACTTAGTAGGCATACCATACTCTATCAATATCATTTTTAGAAAAGGCCATTCTACTGAGTCGTATGCTTTCCTTATGTCCACATTTATGCAGCATCTTGGTGAACTCTCTTTTGAGTATATCCCTTGATCAGCTCGTGTGCAATAATGACATTATCAAGTATGTTTCTCCCTTCTATAAAATTTGACTGAGAAGGTCCCACAATTGAGTTCACTACCAACTTCAATTTTGCTATGAGAATCTTGGATATGATTTTGTACACTGTAGTGCAGCAGGCAATAGGTCGAAACTCTTTGACAGAGTTTGGGCTAGCACTCTTAGGTACTAGTGTAATTGTTGTGAAATTAACACTCTTAAGCAACTTCCTAGTTTTGAAAAATTCCTGTACATCTTACTTGACTTATCCTCCAATTATGTGCCAGTATTCTTTGAAAAACTCTGCTGGAAAGCCATCTATCCCTGGTGCTTTTTCATTTGGTAGCTCCTTCACTGCCTTATCAATGTCTTCCATAGTTATTGAGGCAATAAGCAATTATTGTTGCTCCTTTGTAAGGCAATGTACATCCCTAGCTGTTTCAATATCAATACAGGGGATATCACTTGCTGGAGTGCCCAATAAGCTTTTAAATTCTTGTTCAATCTGTTTTGGTTCTGATACTCTCCTTCCTTGTTCATTACAAATGGATGCAATTATGTTCCTTGTCTGCCTATTTTTTAGTTGAGCATGAAAGAATTTAGAATTTCTATCTCCTGTTTTTATCCACATTGCTCTGCACTTTTGTATGAGTACCTGTTCATTTCCCCCTTCCCGTTTTTCAGTCTGTATAATCAACTCTCTTTCCTGATCAATTAAATGTTGGTTGAGAGGGTCATCATCCAGCTTCCTTTGAGTATTCTACAACTCCATTCTTAAGTTCACAAGCTTCTTCTCCAATGAGTTCATCTCCTTGTTCATCTGTCTGGTTCTATT